CAATTGGATGCTACAGTTAAGCACATACCTTACACATCAGGTGGGTTTAGAGAAAGCTCCTAGTTTTGAAAACTTAAAAAGTCCATATAATAGAAAAATATTTACCTTAAACAGAGCTAAAATGATCAGCCTGCTAAGTCCTGTTAAAGTTAAATCCATAGCCCAAGCTGAAAATTCAGATCTCTTAAGACACAGGGCCAGTGTTTGCCCCATGTGGCAATACCATCTCAACTATAATTTGAAAAAAAACCCTAAACAAACAACACCAAAAAAAAGTCAAACCCGAAAACTCAGTCCATGAAATTCTCTAAAAGACCAGTGGTTGCTGAAGTTGATCATCTGTGATGGTAACAAAACAGTGATTAAAAGTTTCAAAATCCCCTTTTAAGTGCTCCTAAGTGCGTTCTGCCTCTGTGATGAATACTTGCATTTTTGTAGAGTAGACTGTCATAAATTACTCACTGCATGTATTGTATATAATTTCAGATTATAAAGCCTTCAGGCTTTGTTTGCTTCATGTGTTTATGAATAATAATAAGTATAGTCTGAAGGAATTCTACAGTATTAACAGCTCTTTTCCCTCTATTAGAATGGAAGTATTATGGAAGGCTTATCTTTGTGGAAAAATAATGTTGATAAACGTTTTGAAGGCGTTGAAGACTGTATGATCTGCTTTTCAGTCATTCATGGTTCCAACTATTCTCTTCCCAAAAAAGCTTGCAGAACATGCAAGAAAAAGTTTCATTCAGCTTGCTTGGTAAGTACCTTGACTAAATGTTTTTAAATAGGCCAAATATCCTGGAATCATAGAGTGGTTTGGGTTGGAAGGGACCTTATAGCTCATCTAGTTCCAACCCCCCTGCCATGGGCAGGGACACTTCCACTAAACCAGGTCGTCCAGAATCCCATACATGCACAAGTGAAAAGTTTTTTTTCTACTGTTTCTTGTTGGGTTTGTTTTTTTGTTGTTGTTGTTGTTGTTTTTTTTTTTTTTTTTTTTTTTTTTTTTTTTTTTTTTTTTTTTTTTTTTTTTTTTTTTTTTTTTTTTTTTTTTTTTTTTTTTTTTTTTTTTTTTTTTTTTTTTTTTTTTTTTTTTTTTTTTTTTTTTTTAAAGTATAGCTAATGTTTTGGTAGTTCTGTTCTTTGGCAAATAATGATTATTATTGATGTACAGTGTTCCTGATATTCAGCTTGCATTGGTATATTAAACAGCCGTATTTCTCTTTTTTCAGTACAAATGGTTCACATCCAGCAACAAATCCACGTGTCCACTCTGTCGAGAGACATTCTTCTGAAATAAAACTGTCTGTCTTCTTTCTGCAAGCTAATGTGAAGAGCAGGTGGTAAACTGTATGCTGAAAGAAGCCAACTACTTGGAAATAATGTCAGTTACTTTCAATTCTTCACTAGGGGAATATGACACATATTTACCTCTGGACTGTTGTTTTTGTAAGTTTGAAGATTCTTCTTTGATATAAAGAAATAGATAACGATAATTTATTTTAATTGGTATATTTTTAAGATATGTTAAAAATGTCAGAAATAATGCAGAGTTATGTCTGAAAAGTGGTGTTTAAACCACAGCATAGTTGATTAAAAACCTCTTATTTTAGGCATATTCTAACATGGTGTTATGTAATTAACCCAGATCGTACCTCTTAATATAACTGGTGAATATAATAGAGGTGGTATAAAGACTTGATTTTTGATTATGATGTAGTCATAATAGTCCCTCTTATGGGACTTTTTTGGGGGGGAAAAAACTGTTGTTGCTGTTAAACATTAAGGCATGAAACTACAGTGATAATCTTCTGTTAAAGCATAAAATTCTCCCAAAACTCCTCAGCCATCCAGCAGCCTAAAAACATGAAAACTCAGAAGCCCAACTAAATAGAGAGAGCACAATCATTCCTGCATGACAATGAATAACACCATCTATTTATTGCTGATTGGCTTCTAAAGAGAAGGCATACACACTGATCAATCTTTGTTTATCTTCATTAGCTGGCAAATTGGCTATTGCTGAATGTCCACCGTACTTCCACTGTCCTATAATCATAAGGACTCTTAAGTGAACATGCAGATGTATCAGAATTTAATAGCCTTCAACTACACATTTTTTCATGCCTTTTTTTTTTTTTTTAACAGCGGTAGCATACTAATATATTCCAACCTGGATGATATTTGTGGTGGATTTATTTGAAAAGTCAATAAAAGGGGGGAATAAATAAATTGGGTCAATCTCTGTAGTCTCTGGATTGCTCTCTTTTCCTCTGTGTGATAAACTTTTCAGGCATTAATAGTATAAATTTTAGGTTCTGTATGTTTTCTCAGACTTGGTCACTTTTGAGGTGACAGCTCTAGAAATGATTTTTATCTGTTGATTACTGAAGTCTGTATTTTTAACAGGTAAGACTGGGCTTCCAGAGGAGAAATTCCTTGACCTTTTTTTTGAGTAAGAGAAAATGGAAAGGATTTAAAACTGGTATCGAAAAGGTCTAGCTGAAAAGACAAAGTAGGTAGCAGCTGTATTGTGTCACAGTTACTGATGCTAAAATTCAAGGATTGTCTCATTTGCATCACTTTGGTTATTCTAAATAACTTATTTGCAAGGTCAGTAACTGATTTGAAGGCCAGCTGGGGTTAACCAGGTAATGCTTGAAAAGAGCCATAATAAACTCTTCTAGCCGACCTTAACAAATGCTAAGTGTACGAGCATACATCTGTAGATGGCAAATTTCAGAATTAAAAAAAAAAAATTACCTGTTGTGTCACTAGTTCCCAGTCTTCAACGGGATGATGGGAGCATAACAGGGATCACCCCTGGCAGAAGTCACCTACCTTCTCTTTTGGAGTGCATTTTGAGAAGTACTTCCGCCAATGTTGCAGCAGACAAATTGGAGCCAGCAGAACTGCCTCATGAATTATTTAAGTAGATACATGTATTTCTTTTTCCAAATAGCCAGTTGTTAGATAGTTCAGTGCAATCATTCTTTTGTTCAAAGCATGTTGTTTTATTACACTTTCTGATTTTCATTATTCTGTCCTTTATAACTTAAAACTGCACACACTGTTGAGTGTTGTGATCTAATGTGCCAGATGACTGCCCTCTTTTATCTTTGATTACCTATTTTAAAACTAATTCTTTAGTGATAACTAAAATCTAGGTAGTTTAATTAAAACTTCCTTTTGTTAAACCTGTAGCTTGATTCTATTGCATGTTTTGACTACATCTTATCTACATCTACTTCTAGAGGGGTCTAAGGCTGTGACAGCATTTTTGTTCATTCAAACAGTCCTGTGTCTGTGATTGTAACATCAAACCCCATGGTTCTACAGAAAAACAGAATTGCTGTGCATAAACCCTCTTCTCCTAGCAGTTTTGTAAGGGAAAACTGAAGCAAAAAACGAAGTGTGACTTTGCTAAGGGTCTGCCATCAAGTCAAAAAAGTTATAGAAGTAGGAAGCAGGCAAATAGCAGTATAGCTTCTCAGAAGTGACTAGTTGGTCACCACAAAATCAAAACTTTGCTTAAAATTTTCAGTGTGGAAACACTTTATATCACATATGGCCACAAAGTTTCACTTAACAAGTTATTTAGAAGGTTAAACAAAGTCCTGAGTCTACCCTCACTTTGGTCAATGAAATGCAATTTTTTTTTAGCCTCAGTAGTTTCAAGAATTATAATTTCTTGCATACAACATAGGCATGTTTGTGCTAATAGCACCTCCACTTTTGCCTGTCTAAACCCTCCTTTTTTCAGTCTCCTGGAGAGGTTTTTTTAGGTTGCTGCACAGGAAAGCCCTTCATTGGGGTCTGCTGGTCAGGAAATACCTTCCTATTTTGGATAGTGATTTTGAGAAAGGACTTTTATTCTGCGTCTCTACTTCCTTACAGCCATTGTTTTCACTTACCCAGGAACAAGCCTTTTTAAAAGCATGCTTTTTATCTCCTTAATATCTTTTCATGGATGACTACTTTTCATCTAGATTACTCCATAGTAGTATCCTCCTTGTAAAGCAGCATAAATGGGAGCACAGTCACCGTGTTACTGCCCAGAAGACTTCAGGAGAGGAATAGCATGCCTTAAATCATAGAATTGTTAAGGCTGAAAAGACCTTTAAGTTCATGAAGTCCAACCAACCTGCCACTACTTCCATGTTCACTATTAAACGATGTCTTCAAGTGCTATATCCGTATGTTTTTTGAACATTTCCAGGGATGGCAACTCCACACTTCCCTGGGAAACCTATTCCAAAGCCTGATAACCCTGTGTGAATTTATTTTTTTTTAATACCTAATCTAAACCTCCCCTGGCGCAACTTGAGGCTGTGTCCTCTCATCCTGTCACTTGTTACCTGGGAGAAGAGGCTGACCCACACCTGGGTGCAACCTCCTTTCAACCTCCTGTTCTTCAGGCTAAACACCTCCAGCTCCTTCAGCTGCTCCTCATGAGACTTGTCCTCCAGACCCTTTTCCAGCTCCGTTGCCCTTCTCTGGACATGCTTCAGCACTTCAATGTTCTTCCTGAATTGAGGGGCCCAAAACTGAACACAGGATTTGAGGTGAGGCACAGGGGCACAGTCCCTGCCCTGGTCCTGCTGGCCACACTGTTGCTGATCCAGGCCAGGATGCCACTGGGCCTCTTGGGCACCTGGACACAGGCTGGATCATGTTCAACTGCTGTCAACCAGCACCTCCAGGTCCTTCTCTGCTGGGCACCTTTCCAGCCACTGTGCCCCCGGCCTGTAGTGCTGCAGGGGGTTATGGTGCCCCAAGGGCAGGACCCGGCACTTCACCTTTCTGTTCAGAAGTGCACCATTTCCTTCTGACAGAAACAAACTTGCTCATTGTGCTTTGGACCCGTAAAAGGTGCCTGATACTACATCAAAAGGAGTACCACTGGTTCAAAGTGTTCCTTTAAACCCAGCATAGCTACAAACTAGCTATAAAAACAGGAGGGATTATATCAAATACATTATTATAACAAGACACAATGGCAAATGTACAAATACCTATTTATAGATGAAAAAGCCTTGGGTGCTTAAGTGCAAATGCAACAGGGTGGGTTATTTCATGGTTCCCCCACAACTGCCCTGCAGATAGCCAGAGGATAACTGTACCTCTGCCAGCAGACAATAGCTGGTTCACATCCAGAATAAATATAAATACAGAGTCTTGATCAGTCTCACTGCAGTAATCAGGAAGTGTGAATACACCCTAAGAGGGTGAAAATCTTGGTGTAAAAATTATTTTGACAACTTCAGTGTTGAGCTGACAATGAGGTGTTCAACCTTCTGCATGCTGGAAGGTGAAGAGAAATTATCAGGACTTCCTAAATTTGAGGATAGTCAGCTTCTCTTGTCCTGCTTGCCTGGAAAGTACTTGTGTGCCTTCTAAGCCACTTTTCTTCATCGTTTCCAGAATTTCATCTGTAATTGAAAGTTCAGTGTTTACAACTGAATTAGAAAATGGTTATAAAAGACAGTGCTAAATATCTCTCAAATAACAGTAAACTGTAAAGCAAAGATTATAAACTATGTCCTCTTATTCTTTCAGACAATAATTTTTATGCAAAATTATCTTCCACCAAGAACAAATAAAGCTTACAATTTACTAACTGAAGTTCAGTATTTTGCTATTTATAACAAAGAAAAATTCTGTATAAAGCTAAACTGTAGGAAAAAGGAGATTTTGCAGCATTGTATCAAAAAAGCTGCTTAATAAATCAAGTGTGACGAATAATCTTTCTTCTTAAAATTACTTGATAACTTGTAGCCATTAACATTAGATCAGAAGAAACAAGCCCAAATGTTTTCCCTACACCTTTAAAATGAAAGACATCACATTTCCAGCTTAGGCCTTTTGCCTTTTAACACGACCGTTCTCTTCCATGAGATGCCTGGCTTGGTTAATTAGTTCAGAAGATTTACAGTCACCTCTCAGACTTGGAACTGAACTCTTACAGAGCTGCCAGGGTCCTACATACTACGATTTTCCAAACTAGCTTGGAGAGGTCTTAGCATTGATAAATTTGCTTGTATTTTTGGTCTAGCTGTGATCAATATTGTGATTAATAGTGTTTAAACTGGTTTGGCACATTTAAATGTCCAAGTACAGTGATCACCTGGATTATTTTCTTTAATTGTGACCAAGTAGAATAATCCTCCTGGTGAAAGTAGGTCTGGTACTAATGGGAAAACTCTATCCATTACCTCTCTGCCCTGTTTGCCACCAGCCCAGGATACCTCTATTCCATGGCCTTTCACCTAGGAAGAATGAAAACAAAGACTGTCATAATGTAGAATGAAAGAAATGTCACTGATACTTGTAAGAGAATCGTCACTATAACCTCTGTCTTTAGGTGTCTGCCATTAGCAGTGTGACAATTTTGATTCAGCAGGTTAGTTTGTGCAGCAAATTACTTCAAGAGTACTTTCTACGGGAGGAACATACTATTTTGTTTCAAGTTCTATTCTTAAACTGAATTAAAAGAGCTACATTGTCACATTCCTTGTATGTATTTTCTTGTAATGTTTTATGAGCTTGTTTGCCAAGTGGAAGGTGGTCAGAAAACCCCTTAAGTGTTTACAGGTCAAATTCTGAGAGCAGGAGTCTGCAGAAGGAGAAGATTTTTATTCTACAGGAAACAAATGCATTTTCAGTTGAGAGTCTTCCATAAGAATTCCTGAGCATGCCTAACAGAAGTCCTACATGGTTTATACTTGATGGAGGAAGCAGGTACTGAGAAGCAGCAGCTAGCAATCCTTATTCCCATGCAGAGTTTATAGGGAACTCCAGCATTTTCACTAAATCAGTGCTGGTCCTACAACATCCTTTAGTATTTAAAAAAACCCTTGCAGTTTTCATAGCAGGGTCTTTTTGATTTGCCATCTCTCCTCTGACAGTAGAAATACCATTTTTATTGTGTATTTCAAATTTTTCTTACCTCTTCCGAAGGTGTTACCACATATGGTGGATTAAACAGCAGTAGATCAACCTTCCCATTTAATCTTGGAGACAATCCTTTGACCTGTAGATGAAGTTGATGACTCTTTTGTGGGAGGTGTTTTTTTGAAACATGAAGAAAGCAAATGTTTTACATAATGCTGGATGTTCTGAGCATTTCATCCTGACTCAGGAACATTAAGCTTTACTTTCTACGTGCAAGAGAAGCATCAAGAAGAAGTATCCATGCAGAGCAGAACAATTTCAATAGTCTTAAGATTATGTTATGCATAGGTTGTAGAAAAGCAAGAGATGCATGTGTGGACACAGAAGTAGTACTTTATTCTTGCTCAGTTCAGAATTTAAGTTAGATATAAAAGAATGTTAAGTTTATCGTCAGTTAACATTTGTTAGCCAAAATGACCAATCTCTGAGCAGCTGTTCATATGTTTAAATCCCATATATTGTTGCCTGTCTACATCATCTTTTGTAAATATGTATATTCAGGGTTAAAAGAGATGAGAAAATTAGGTTTTCTCCATATAACAATTTGTAAGTAACTAAAAGTAACACACACAGGTCCTAATTAAATTGGAAAAGGCTGAGAGCTGTATAGCTTTAGAGGAAGGGGTATGATAATGTCAAGTCACTACAGAATTCCTTGTCCAGCATTTTCCCAAACCGTATCTACAGAATTCATCTTTAAAATTAATTCAATGACTTTTTAGAGCTTAATTATGAATTTTAGAGCTTGAATAGTTTGGTTTTCTCTTCTTGCAGAATCATTTTGGCATTTTGGTTTTCTTTCTCCCCATCCATGCTTTTTAAAAGAAAGTTTGTTCTAGGCTTTTAAATTACTTTTCAGTATCAGGGCCACAAAGACAGGGCCACAGGTCTGGAGCATCTCTCTTATGAGAAGAGACTGCAGGAGTTGGACCCGCTTAGTCTGAAAAAAAGACTGGGGTGGGGGAGAACTCATTAATGCATATAAATATCTCAAAGGTGGGTGCCAAGAGGATGGTGCCAGACTCTTTTCGGTGGTGCCCAGAAACAAAACAAGGAGTAATGACCATAAATTACACCACGACAAGTTCCACCCCAACATGAGGAAGAACTTCTTTACATTGAGGGTGGCAGAGCACTGGAACAGCTGCCCAGGGAGGTCATGGATTCTCCCTTTCTGGAGACATTCCAAACCCACCTGGACATGCTCCTAAATATTGTGTGATTCTGTGATCTCTAGTAAGCATTAAAAAAACTACAAAAATTACAAAGAAGATATTAATGAAACATCTGTCTTACCAAGTCAGTAATGACTGGCTGAAGGTGAACATTGTTCAGCCGAGCTGTCTCCTGTGTACAGTAAGCTGCCATGGGGTTGATATCTGTACATCTAAAGCAAAATATTACTAAGTGTAAGTTAGAGGCTACAGTACGTGGAAGTTTAATGAACCACATGCTAGTCTATGTACTCTCAAAGAAAATATCCATTTCAGCATCCTTTACTTTGCAAATAAATAGCAACAAATAGCCATTAAAATATACACATTGTATTAGCAGCTAAGCCACTCAACACTACACTGTGAGTTTTAATGGCTGTCTGAAAGCTGAAGTATAGGACTTCCCTTCAGCGTTAAGCTCTGCATAAATATATATATTTATACAAGTCTCTACTAAAATTCAGTTACTACCAACACCCAGGTAACTAATCTCATCAGACCACAGGAAGACTAGTCAGTGGCTAAAATTTAAGATTCAACCCAGCAAACACAAGTGTAGGCTTAGCAATTTGTCTAAGAAATGGAAAATGGAATTGTAGTCACAGCACTACTTAATTGTTACAGAACCTGAAGTAAATAGTTCAGGATCTGTAGTGGTGCATCCCCCTTTGTCCTTGGTCCAAATCTCAGAAATGCTCTACATGCTTGCTTTTTGCTTTGATTTCCTTAGCTGTAGAACTGAGCTCATATTTCCTTGTAAATAGTTTTTAAAATGGGAAAATGAGAAATATATATGTGAGGGCTAGGCATTCTTTATTACTGCATGCAACAGTTTAAATGCTGTTATACTTACATGTACAGTGCACTGGATCCAAGAATGGAAGAAGCTAGAAATGTTGAAACCACACCAGATCCAGATCCTATTTCAAGGCAGATTGCAACTCTAAAGAAAGAAAACTCTGGATGACTTTTATTTGTAACATATAAGAGCATCACAACAGACAAAGAATTAGACAAGACAGTGTTATGAAACATGCTGTCCTTCTCCCAAACATGCTAAAGTCATGTCATACAATATCATAGAATATCCTGAATTGGAAGGGACTCGCAAGGATCATCAGTTTTAGCTCCTGAACTTGCTGGTCACATGGCCCTCGATGCTCACATTATGTCACCTGTCCCTTAGTGGCTGCCAGGCCTCCTGGTGCCCATCCAGATGATTCCTGGTGATCACAAGCCACTTTTGGAAACACGTATGTTTCTCCTGTGCCTCACATGAAAGTTTCTGTTAACTATGCAATCCCAACAGTACAGGCTACATTTCTACAGCATTTATTATACATTTATTGCAGTGAGGCCAAACTCCAACAGAAATTATGAAAGATATGAAGCCGCTCAAAGAGAGCAGGGCTCAAATGCACAGCATCATAGAATATTCTGAGTTGGAAGGGACTCATAAGGATCATCAAAGTGCAACTCCTGCCCCTGTGCAGGACAGCCCAAGAATAACACCATATGCCTGAGAACGTCGTCCAAACCCTTCCTGAACTCTGTCAGGTTCGGGGCTGCGACCACGTCCCTGTGGTCTGTTCCAGCGCCCAACCACCCTCTGGGTGCACAAACAGCGTTTTTCTGATACCCAGCTTCAATCTCCCCTGACACAGCTTCACCTGTTCCCTCGGGTCTTGTCACCGGTAACCAGAGAGTAAATGTCAGTGTCTGTCCCTCCACTTCCACTCACGAGGGAAGCTGTGGGGTCTGTCCTGTCTGCTCTTCTCCAGGCTGAACGAGTCCAGTGACCTCAGCCGCCCCTCGTACGCCCCCTCTAGACCCTTCACCATCCTCGCAGCCCTCCTTTGGACACTGACAGCTTTAAGACCCCTCTGATATTGCGGCGCCCCGTCCCTCTGTGACAGCGGCCGCTCAGCAGATTAAACCCCTCCTCGGGGGGTGCTGTTCCCGCCCCTCCGCGCCGGCCCTACCGAGCGGCCCGCAGGCGGCCCGCGTCCTGCTCCAGCGCATCCAGCAGCAGGAAGGTGTCCTCGGCAGGCTCGTACACGTCGCGGAAGGGCCCCCGCGGGCCCAGGTGCCCGTACCGCGGCGTGGGCAGCGCGGGCGCCGCCATGGCCGCTCGTCCGGCGGGCGGGGAAGGGGAGGGAAGGGGCAGGAAGGGGAGGGAAGGGGCGGAGCGGCGGGAGGGAACTGCTCGGCCGGGGAGGGCGGGGAGCGAGGCGGCATCGCACGGATCCCGCTGAGACATCGTGGAGCATCCTCGGTGTGCGCCGGCATCCCGCTGTGCGTGCCCAGGAGTGATGATGGAAGAGCGGCCTGCTGCCGTCGCTCGTAGTTTTGGTGTCCGCTTCACAAATAGTGTTTCCGCCACGAGAACTACCACAGGGAGTCCGCGTGAACCCCAAAGGAAGGAGGTGCTGAGGAAGTTTTTGAAGCACGCAGGGGAAACCCTTACGTTGACACTCAACTCAAACCAAGCTCTGTTTTCCGGTTATAAAATACTATGTTTCTGTGATTTTTTTTAGCCAGCAACACCTCACCGCATCCTTATGTACCAACCCTGTGAACTTCAGAATCGTAGAATCACAGAATGGTTTGGGTTGGAAGGCACCTTCAAGATCATCAAGTTCCAATCCCCCTGCCATAGGCAGGGACACCTTCTGCTATACCAGGAGCCCCATCCAATCTGGCCTTCAACACTTCTAGGAATAGGGCATCCACAGTTTCTCTGGGCAACCTGTTCCATTGCCTAACCAGACTCACAGTAAAAGAATTTCATCCCAATATCTGATCTAAACCTACTCTCTTTCAGTTCGAAGCCATTTGAAGTCATAACCCCTTTTCCTGTCACTGCATGCTCCTGTAAATAGTCTCTCTCCATCTTCTCGGCTCTTTGGGTCCTGGAAGGCCTCAATCCTGAAACCTTCTCTTTTCTAGGCTGAATAATCCCGATTCTCTCAGCCTTTCCTCATAGGAGACGTGTTCCCTTTAATCATCTTGATGTCCTCTTCTGGACTTGCTCCAACAGGTTGATGTCCTTCCTGTGCTGGGTGCCCCAAAGATGGATGCAGTGCTCTAACAAAAATGAGGCTCTGCAAAACTAAGAATTGAGGGGAAAGTTCAGGGCACAGGTCAGATGAACAATTCTCTCTACACAACAAAGCCCAAACAAATTGTGATCAAAAGCAGAAGAGAGATGTGGACAAATTCCATTAAATGTCTGTGTTTGATTATTATTGCACTGAACACTCAAATTCTGAGAATAAGATGAACATCTAGGTTAATGAAGAAAAAAGATGATGTTGACAAACAAGTCAGAATCTTAAAATGTTATTTTGATAACAATTTCAAATAACATGAGTTTTGGTGAAAGAAGGAAAAAAACCCACACCTAAACAACTAACCCAGTAGATTAATCTTTGTTGACTTAAGTACATAAATATACTTAAAATACATGTATGTATGTGTCCTGGTTCCAGACAGGACAGGGTTAATTTTTGCAGGAGCCATGAGGGCACATGTCTGGGACCTGCAGGTTATTCTGTACCACTGCACATCATTTTCCAGGAACAGGGAAAGGGCCTACTTCTGGTTTGGGGAAGTGTGGCACGGTCAGGTACGGTTGAGGGTTTCCACAATAACATTTCTTGTACACTCTGATATTAGTATTGCTGCTGTTACTGTTCATTTTCTTATCTCATTGCTGTTTCCAATACATTGTTCTCAATCTGTGATCTTTAATTTTTGTGCCTCTAATTGTCCTCTCCAGCATGCCACAGGAGAAGGGCAGGGGGACAGGAACACTGAATTGGAGAATACCATTCCTAAACCATGACAGTATGTTATGTACTTTAAGTATATAAATGTACCTAAGTCAGGTGTGTCTTGTTTGCTGCCCTCCAGTTTTGTTTTTTTTCCCCTGGAACTCGGAAAAGATAACCAATTTGCATTTTCCACTTGCAACTGTAAATGGCTCTGTAAAACAGAGGATATCTGCCATTCCTACAGAAGAACAACTTCATTTTTGAGCAACTTGTGGTTCATAAGTGCTGCTGAACTCGTTTTGAAGCTAGTTTTTTTTTTTTTCTTTATTGCTGTATCCAGTGTAGGGTCAGCTTTGCACAGAAATATTGGAAAACACAGAAAAGGAGTTCCTGTGTCATATGAGGACCTCATCCCTTACCCTCCATTGCAAAGAATTGTGAAGTAGACACTTAGTACTGAAAGTTTGTTGTTCATCTATTTCACATACATGGGTGTGAGAAAAATATGATGTCATCATTATACTCAGTTCTTGCCATAAAAAGAAATTTGTTTGGGTAAATTCTCTTAGAAAAAGGACTAAGTGTGCACACTGGAGAAAAAAGCTCCAAACCCAACAACAACAAAAAAGAGCAGCTAACTAGTGTTGCCTGACCCAAGTGTTGTACATCAGCTAAGCAGCCAGGTACCTGGAAGATTTAACTGAAAATTCAGCATTATTCAGTACATTCTGCTTTACATCTGCCTTTAGCTGTGTCCCATGTTTCCAAGTAAAATCAGCATGCTGCTCTTTATCCTCAAAGCCAACATTTTTCAAGCAGCCAACAGAAATTATCAATAAGAATAATAATATTAGTATACCAGAAATATGTGCCAAGAATTATGATGAGTCTGTTAGTAAGCAACTGTGCTTTATGTCCAGTCTTCTGGGGAAAGTGAATGCAATCAGATATCCAGAGATAAATATTCAGAGATGCAAAGATGAGGTTTTAATTCAAGGATTATTTTTGTCCTGTCATGGAAATGAAACCATCAAGCTTTATCTTAAAACAGGTCTCTTGGTCCACCATCTAGATTGTAAACTAATTCTAGAAATGGAGAAGTTCAGAAAACTTCAGTTTTCAGAGTAAATTTATTCATGGACCTGATCTTGTGCTAATATTACTTTTAATTTAAAATGTTGTTTTCTCTTCATTTATTCCCCCACATGAAGTATTATCATAACCCACCTCAATCTTCATTTTGCCAACTAAATTAGTCCTTGTTGCCTCCTAATTTATGTCCTTATCATATTCTTTCATCATCCTGTCCTGATAAGAGTTATTGTGATGTTCAACATGGCATCTGAATACAGGCTAAATGAGTTCTTAGCCTGTGAGATGATAATAGTTTCCTTTACTGGAAATCTCTTGGCCGATGAAGAGTAGGAATATCACATTTGTGTCAGAATAGTGAGTTCTGACTGAGGTTAACATTAATTTGCTCTTACCTGGGCCGTCAGTGGAGCAAAATTGACTCCTTCTGTGGGACAGGGGCTTGGCAGGAGGCAATAACAGTTTTTTTAGCTCAAAAGGAAACCCAGTAGATACTCCGTCATTTTGTCTGTCTTCCCAAAGATTTGCTGCTGCGCCAGAGAAACAAATACTTGTAAAACATATTAAGCTGGCATAAAATTCCATTGCTTTGGCAAAATGAAGTCACTTTAAGAGACAGAATTTTGCGCTGTGCCCGTATTGGGAAAATTAATTCTTTGGATATATTTTTTTAATCTCTACAGGTGGTCAAGCTTTGGAGTGCTGTAGAAGAAATGACTTCACTGCCTTCAGCTGTACTGGTTATTATTTTTGGCTGTTTCATACTTCATGAAATCTAGTTAATTATTATTGGGGTTTTTTTAAATACTTATAAGTCCTTCTGGGTGAATTTTACAAAACATTTATTTTTATTGCTTATATAACTGCGTACCTAAAATATTTTTCTTGGTAGATAACTGTACTGTTTTTGCCAAAACAGATTCTATTTCAATTTGGGAAGTTGTTGGAAGGCTAATACGGGAATATGTTTTTCAGTGGTGCCTGTGCTATGTCATTAAAGTAGGCTTTATGGAGATGAAAAATTGTTCTTGACAGGAATCATAACCATTTGTTTACGCTAAGGTGTATGGGCTTCATCCCATTTGGAATTCAGTGCCATACTTCTCATACAGCGAATCCTTAACCCATGATTTCCTAACAGCCTTTCAGCCCTGAGAGATTTCCATATAAAATTCTCAGACATTTCACAGCTGCATCTGGCCCTCCGTGTCCTGGAAGAAATGTAGAGTTGTGCTGGACCTGTGAATGCTCCTGTTTCACTGTATTTGAGGAACTGGAGCTACCAGGATAACTGCAAATGCAGAACTGCTAAGAAAGGTCTGAAAGACATCTCTTTAGCTAAGTAGTCCAACAAGCAACCTCATCCTACAATCTCTTTCTCAAACTGAATGAGTATCTCTTTAAAATATCTAGGCTTCTTGCCACCAGTATTTCTAAGGAAAAGCTGTTATAACACTTTGGCACTTTAATCATTAGAAACCTTGTCATTTCTTGCCTAAATGCAGAGGTGACAGATTTTATTCTCACTTTTCTGGCAAGTAGGTAAGCTTAAGCGATTCTTTTCATAGTTTTTTCTTGATGGATTTGTAGACAAAGAAAAGTTCTCATCAGCCTTTGTTTCGCTTGACTAAATAAGAAATGCTCTTAAAATTTCCTGTCATAAGACATTATTTTAATTTCCCCATGTATGAATCCAAGTCACTTAAGCCTGAATGTGACTTGTATAAAAGACTTATTGATGCTTTGAAGAATTTACTGGCTTCATTATCTCTTGTGGGATTTCCTGGTACATCCCAGGATCATATTTGCACTTCCTTTGCAGAAATGGTTTCTTTCCATTCTGTAATCAGCTGTTTTTTCTTGGTTTTTCCTCAATAATAACTGACTATAAATTGAGAATTCCATAGCATTTTATTGTTTTTAATAGTTCCCTTTTTTTATGCCTGTTGCTCACATTCTGGTCATTTTGTTCACACTCTCCAAGGTTGTCTCCTGATTTCATGTTGTCATCATAGTGATGCCAAGGATACTGATGAAAGAACTTCAGTAATATCAGCCCCAAGACTGGTATTTCAGGAAGTGACCATTAGTGACTTTGAACCTCATCCTGTTCATTTTCAGTATGGTGTATGACTAACTTTTATTCAGTTTCTTGTTCGCCTCATGCTCCTGCTGCCAATTCCATCATTTCCAGCTTAGTTCATACTTTTCCACATAACATCACATCTAAAGCTGCATAGGAGTCTAAGTAGATTATTTTTGTGTTTAAAAATG